GTATGGGGGGGACCCAGGGGAGGGAGGGAGTCATTACAACAGAAAACTATGACTAAAGGCACAACATATGCAAATTTTCAGTTTCCACAGACTCTCAAGCTAAGGAAATAACTCATCTTTGATGGCCATTTTCATGCTAATTTTACCTCCAAAACCAGGTGATCCCTATCTCCTTCATTCGCAAATATCTCGACTTCTATTCAAGATAAATGGATTTTTTTTCTCACCCAAAGCAAGACAATTGAACAAGCTTTAAGATGGTAATCAATAACTCTAGATGCCCCAAAAATGACAAGAGCCTGATTCCACCACATAGTCTCAGTCATAGCACTCATAACTTTATAAGTCAGAAAACATAACTGTCTCAGTCAACAACACTGTCTCAGTCATAGCACTCATAACTGTCAAAGTCAACAATATTTTTCTCAGTCAGAAAACATAACTCTCTAAGTCAATAAGTCAACAATATTGTCTCAGTCATGGCACACATAACTGTGTAAGTCAACAATACTGTCTCAGTCATACCACACATAACTTTATAAGTCAACAACATAGTCTCAGTCAGAAAACATAACTGTCTCAGTCAACAAAACTGTCTCAGTCATAGCACTCATACCTTTATAAGTCAACAATATTGTCTCAGTCATAACACACATAACTGTTCTAAGTCATCAATACTGTCTCAGTCAACAATATTGTTCAGTCATGGCACTCATAACTGTATCAGTCATCAATATTGTCTCAGTCACAGCACTCATAACTGTCTCAGTCCGAAAACATAACTGTATAAGTCAACAATATTATCTCAGTCATAGCTCACACAACTGTCTCAGTCAGAAAACATAACTGTATAAGTTAACAATATTGTCTCAGTCATAGCTCACATAACTGTCTTAGTCAGAAAACGTAACTGTATAAGTCAACAATATTGTCTCAGTCATAGCTCACATAACTGTCTCAGTCAGAAAACATAACTGTATAAGTCAACAATATTGTCTCAGTCATAGCTCACATAATTGTCTAAGTCATGACACTCATAACTGCAATTATAATTCTTTTTTCAGGTTTTCAGTTATCACTGTGACAAAGGAGGCTCTCGTGATCTAGAGGTAGACCTACGTTGTTCACCTCTCATCCCAACAGTCCGTGGGTCTAGACCTGACAGTCACAAAAAAATGTTCCTCTCTAAAATTAAGATATGGGTCACGACGCGGTGGAATCAGGTGCTCGTCGATTTTCGGGCATCTGGAGTTATTGGTATCATCTTAAAGCTTGTTCGTTTATCTTGCTTTCGATGAAAAAAAATACCCATCTATCTTGAGCAGAAGTGAGGACATTTGCGATAGAAAGAGATAAGATCCCTTCGTTTTAGCCGTAAAAAATAGCGAGAAAAGGGCGTCAAAGTTTGGTAACTTCAGTAGCGAAAGAGTCCTTGAGATCAGAAAAAATACTTATTTTGTGTATTTAATCAACGTTTTTTCAAGAAAATTCACACCGAAATGTGTTTTTAGGTGGACATAAATGGGTTTAACAAAATAACAAAAATTTGATAAAAATTGAAAAATGGTGGGAAAAGGCCTGTTTCTCCAATTTTGTTATTTTGACCAGTGCCTGATTTCACCACGAAGCCTCACATGTTCTCCTTCCACGCCTGATTTCACCACGAAGCCTCACATGTTCTCCTTCCACGCCTGATTTCACCACGAAGCCTCACATGTTCTCCTTCCACGCCTGATTTCACCACGAAGCCTCACATGTTCTCCTTCCACGCCTGATTTCACCACGATGCCTCACATGTTCTCCTTCCATGCCTGATTTCACCACGAAGCCTCACATGTTCTCCTTCCACCTCCTTTCCTGCTCTCTAGTCCTGTTCTGTCATTTGCTTTTATCTCCACTTTCTCCCCCCTCCCCTCTTCCGCCAGTTTCCTCAGTGCTCTTCTGTCCCTTATTCCTGACTCTGTCTGCTGCTACTCCTTGGCTCCTTCTCACTGCGATCTTTCGGTAACACCCCTGATCTTTGGGTAGGTAAGATGGAACACTTAGCCTTCTCAGGTAATGGCGAAAAATCTCGGAGGTCCCGTGTGCAAGTCGCGCACATTAAAAATCCCTTACTGGTCCAAAATGGATAAGAGTAGGCTTCGGCTGCCACCCGGTCAAAATTTAAAATTCCCTACCAAACTGAAAATGTTAAATGTGTACCGCGCGCTCATATGACCGTATGCAGTTGCGAGCGCTGTAAAACACTTACTTAAAAAAAACAACCAAAAATATAGTAAGGCCACATGTCTTCAGGCAGCTGTGTTCCCATTCCGAAGGTACTCTGTGTGTTCTTATACTGATTAGAGTATTATCAATTTTAGTACATATTAATTTTGAATTTTTACTTGGGTGGCCGCCAAAGCCTACTCTTATTGACTTTTGGACTGCAAAGGGCCCTGCACAACTTGCACTTGGGACCTCTGAAATTTTTCGCCCTTATCCGAGAAGGCTAGGTGTTAGATCTTACCTACCCCAAGACCAGGGGTGCGGCTGAAAGACAGTAGGAAGAATGAGCCAAGCAGTAGCAGTAGAAAGGCTGCAGAAAAAGTCAGGAACCCAGAGGCGGAAGCAAAGGAGGTGAGGGGCTGGAGGCAGAAAGTGGAGACGAAAGCAGACGACAGAACATTGTAAGAGAGCAGGAAAGGATGTGAAAGGAGACTATTTTAGAGAAGAACATTTTCCGTCGTTATGCGTATTCAAACCCGGGACCTATTGAATGAAAGGCGAACACCGTCACCCCTCGACCACGAGAGCCCCCGGCCTAAGTAGTAAAAACGGTCACATGTGTAAAAATCAGCTGCAGTGCAGGTAGAAGAACCAGCAGTCGACTACCGCTGAGATCTAACAGGGGAACACAAAAAAAGAAGACTATGGCAAAAATGTTACTATTTTCGTATCCCCGATGTGACAGCAAAGTTTAAATTAATAATAATAATAACAATAGCAGTAATAATAATAATAATAATAATAATAATAATAATAAATTTAAAAAACAATAATAATAACAACAATAATAACAACAATAATAAAAACAATAGCAATAATAATCATAATAATCATAATAATAATATGATATTTACAAAGCCACCCCCAACTCCGATTACTGACCACAGGTTCCGAACGCCTGACAATACAACAGCAACACATAAACAGTATATTGTGTTCTGACGGATGAAAACACACCAAAAAAAACAAAAAAACCATACATGTCTCACGAATCAAAAAACGAAAATGACTTCAGCTGACACTTTATTGAACAAAAAAATTGGATCTCTCTTAAACCACGTGGGTTAAGGCGTTCCAGATCTTGGGGCCGTGATATTCAAATGCCCCTTTCACCCACTGGCGTAAGTTAGAAAGTAGATGAAAACTTGTCAGCCATTGAGGGGTTAATCCAGGGAGGATTTGATCCAGAAATACAAGGGATTAGTAATAGAAATACTAATAATCACAATAATAGTAATTGCGACAATAATGATGATGATAAAAATAATAATAATAGTAAAAGATAATCTTAATAATGATGACAATGATACTGAAAAACAACAAATAAAATAATGATGATAATATCGATGGTAATAATGACAATGAAAATAACAATAATGCGGGGAAGGGTTTAATCCAGGAAAGGGTTTTAACCAGGAAAGGGTTTAATCCAGGAGGACGAGTTTAATCCATGAATTTGGGTTTAATCCAGAGCCATACCGTTGCCTGGGCTGACTGGGTTCAGGGGCGGGTCTTTCCAGACCGGTTTGTACTCGATGGCGGGCGGGGGCGTCTTCGGTTTGGTTTCTTCCATCAATTTGCGTATGTCCCCAAGTGTCAGACTTTCCTGCGGCTCCGGCTTCGGCTGTTCTTTCTGCTTCAGGCCCTGGTGATGATACAACGACGGTAATTACTAATAATATCAATAATAATAACAATAATAATAATGATAATATTAACCTGATTTCACCACGATGCCTCACATGTTCTCCTTCCACCTCCTTTCCTGCTCTCTAGTCCTGTTCTGTCATTTGCTTTTATCTCCACTTTCTCCCCCCTCCCCTCTTCCGCCAGTTTCCTCAGTGCTCTTCTGTCCCTTATTCCTGACTCTGTCTGCTGCTACTCCTTGGCTCCTTCTCACTGCGATCTTTCGGTAACACCCCTGATCTTTGGGTAGGTAAGATGGAACACTTAGCCTTCTCAGGTAATGGCGAAAAATCTCGGAGGTCCCGTGTGCAAGTCGCGCACATTAAAAATCCCTTACTGGTCCAAAATGGATAAGAGTAGGCTTCGGCTGCCACCCGGTCAAAATTTAAAATTCCCTACCAAACTGAAAATGTTAAATGTGTACCGCGCGCTCATATGACCGTATGCAGTTGCGAGCGCTGTAAAACACTTACTTAAAAAAAACAACCAAAAATATAGTAAGGCCACATGTCTTCAGGCAGCTGTGTTCCCATTCCGAAGGTACTCTGTGTGTTCTTATACTGATTAGAGTATTATCAATTTTAGTACATATTAATTTTGAATTTTTACTTGGGTGGCCGCCAAAGCCTACTCTTATTGACTTTTGGACTGCAAAGGGCCCTGCACAACTTGCACTTGGGACCTCTGAAATTTTTCGCCCTTATCCGAGAAGGCTAGGTGTTAGATCTTACCTACCCCAAGACCAGGGGTGCGGCTGAAAGACAGTAGGAAGAATGAGCCAAGCAGTAGCAGTAGAAAGGCTGCAGAAAAAGTCAGGAACCCAGAGGCGGAAGCAAAGGAGGTGAGGGGGTGGAGGCAGAAAGTGGAGACGAAAGCAGACGACAGAACATTGCAAGAGAGCAGGAAAGGAGGTGAAAGGAGACAATTTTAGAGAAGAACATTTTCCGTCGCTATGCGTATTCAAACCCGGGACCTATTGAATGAAAGGCGAACACCGTCACCCCTCGACCACGAGAGCCCCCGGCCTAAGTAGTAAAAACGGTCACATGTGTAAAAATCAGCTGCAGTGCAGGTAGAAGAACCAGCAGTCGACTACCGCTGAGATCTAACAGGGGAACACAAAAAAAGAAGACTATGGCAAAAATGTTACTATTTTCGTATCCCCGATGTGACAGCAAAGTTTAAATTAATAATAATAATAACAATAGCAGTAA